GAAGGTTTGAATGGTACTCATCTTCCCTCAGAGGAGCTGGTGGAAGAGTGGGCCAAAATAATGAGCTGTATAGGCAGTGGTAAGGGTTCTGTTCATTCACCCTAAGATTCAAGTTGAGGTCTCTCTGGTAATTTGTTAGCTTCTAGAAGCTCTGCTAGTGACAATAGCTCCAGCAAGGGAAGAGATCCCTCCCTGCTCGCTCCCTCCTGACCCCCAGCCTGAGTTCTTCCTTCTTACAGGCCAACAAGCTCGCAGAGAAAAGGAAAGCCCATGATGATGCTGTGAGGTCTGAGAAAAAGGCCAAGAGGACAAGGCCTGTGTGAGCTTCAGTCATCCCTCACTGAGATTTGGACATGCAGAAGCGAAGCGTACACACCAGCTAACACCCTTCATTCTTTCGGTGGTGTGTGGCCAGCCCGAGCCTTCCATAGGGTTCATGCTGGCATCTGGACAATGAGGCCTCTACCCAACCCAGTTCTTACTCCAGGAGACTGTCTGGCATCCTCATTTTCCCTGGCTTTCTGAAGCCTCCTACCTATCTTTGCGCATCCTGTGCTGTGGAGAAATGGTGGGGAGCTTTTGTTATTAAATGGCTGGACTTTTCGCAGCCAATTGGATTCTGTGTTCAGAAGCCTCCCTGGGGTTGGAGAGGAGCCACCTGGATAGACCCAGATAGGTCCAGGCACACTAGAACTCTGGGTCCAGGGATGGTAGGAAGACACAGGTTCTGGGCTTGGGCTTCACACTTGCCCTGGCCTGGTTCCTGTTGGTGCTCAGGCTCTACTCTGAACCTGTTTTCTCAAGTTAAGGCTTGAAGTTCTAGAACCTTCCCACAATGTGAGGGTTCACTTTTCTAATCCAGTCATGGTCTATAAAAATCAACTGGCTTCCTTCCTTTTTTGCTGGAGCTCATGAGAAGGTGATAGATGTCTTAGTCAAAGTGTCTCGCTGCAACAGAACACCAAGACCAAAAAGCAAGTTGGAGAAGAGTTTTACTCAGTACACTTCCACGTGACTCTTCATCATTGAAGGAAGTCAGGACAGGAACTCAAACAGGGCAGGATTCTTGGGGCAGAGCTGATGCAGAGGCTATGGAGGGGTGCTGCTTACCGTATTGCTTCCCCTCACTTGCTCAGCCTGCTATCTTAACAGAACCTGGGACCACCAGTCAGGGATAGCACCACCCACAGTGGGCTTCCCCCCCCCCCCCCCCCCCCCCCCCCCCCCCCCCCCCCCCC